CTTCCTCTTGGGTTCATTGGAACGGTGGGAGCGGGGAAGAATCGCCCTGGGCTGCTGTGCTAGGCACTGTGTGTTTTAAGATGAAAAGTGAACTCCTCACCGGTTTTCCGGTAACTTCAAGTAACTGTTTTGAAGTAGAGCAGGAGTTGTTCTTACCTTCTTGCTACTAAAGGCCATTCCGTAGAGCAGGGGAATCCAAGCAGCGCCAGGTAACAACTGCACCCTTCAGCCCTTCACTTTAATTCCGTATTCACAGTAGTGTGGTAAAGCGGATTTTTTTTATCATAGTGCAGAAATAGGAACGTACCAGACCATTACAGAATCACAGAATCGTTATGGTTGGAAAGGACCTCCAGGGTCATTAAGTCCAACCTTTTTCCCAGCATTTCTCTAACCACTACACCAGATCCTCAAGTGCCACATCTATTCGTTCTTTAAACACCTCCAGGGATGGCGACTCCACCACCTCCCTGGGCAGCCTGTTCCAGTGCCTAACTACCCTCTCAGTGAAGAATTTCTTCCGAATATCTAATCTAAACCTCCCCTGGCGCAACTTGAGGCCATTCCCCCTCATCCTATCATTACTAATTTGAGAGAAGAGACCAACACCAGCCTCTCTACAACCTCCTTTTAGGTAGTTGTAGAGGGCAATAAGGTCTCCTCTCAGCCTCCTCTTCTCTAGACTAAACAAACCCAATTCCCTCAGCTGCTCTTCATAGGGCATGCTTTCCAGCCCTTTCATGCAAACCTGCAGTGTATGCTGTTAAACTGATTAAGGGGAAGGTGTCACTTAATCATAGAATCATAGAATGGCCTAGGCTGGAAGGGACCTTAGAGATCATCTAGTCCAACCTCCCTGTCATGGGCAGGGACGCCACCTCTCGACTAGACCAGGCAACACATGGGGACCGAGCGGGAATCAAACCCGTGACCTCGGTCTTGGTCCTTGTTGCCAGCACCGTGCTCAAACCACTGAGCTAACCGGCCCCCTAATATATTGACAGTTCTTAGGCCAAGGCATACAATGTCTCAAAAATACCACCAAAATGTTTTTTTCTAGGTAGAACAATGCCTGAAGCGCCTATGGAAAATGAACTTGTTGGGCTGCATTGAAACTCTGGCAGAACTGATTCCCAAGTAAGTGTCATGATCCTGTATATTATCCATTAACTCGGCCTTTAGAGCTAAAGGAGGGGAATGCCAGATCACAACTAATTTTTCTTGTATCAACACAGGAAAAGTACATCCCAAGCCCATGCAGAGTTTCTAGTTCCCAGCCAGCCTATGCTAGAAACGGTGGCTCTGAAGGTATTGGGAGGTTGCAAGCTCATACTGCGTCTACTGGACTGTTGCTGTAAAGCATTTCTGTATCCTTTTGTCACCATGAAAACATTCATACAGTTCTCATCAGCACCTCCTGAGACCAAAGCTAGGTCTGCTGTAGGCGCTGTATTGCTGATGGACTCAACTGTGCAATTCAGGTGTGAGTTAAAAGTTGCTTTGATAGTCAGATGTCTTCTTTTCAAGTTATTATGAAGGAACCTCAGGCTGTTGGCTGGCTGCTATTACGGCCTTGAGCAACCCAAAGTTTGGATACTCGTCGCCCAAATTATCCAGGATATTGCCTTGTGAATTGTTCAGCAAGTCTCATAACATGCTGTTTATTTTTTATCCTTAACTGGTGTAATCTTCAGCTTGTCCGTTAAACATCTGTGCTCAGAAGAATTCATACTTTTGAACACCTTGGCTTCGGGGTTGTTGAGCCGGCTATGGTTTGTGTGTTCAAAAGTCTGTCTTGTTTGTTGTCTATCTGATGTGCCTGTCAGGGAGAAGGGCTTGTAATTAGGCCTTGCTGCTGAGTGAGCTTTATTCGGTTGGGAGGAGGAGGAAGATTCCTGCATCCTTTTGGACTTGATTCTAGCACCTGAAGAGTTGTATAAGTGGAGAGACACTTCTTACATGCTGTTATGGAAGGCTTTGTTCTTGGTTCATAGCAAACGTTACGCAGCACTAATGAAATCACAGCGTTGTTAATGCCAGCCTGCCACAAATACTAATGCCTGGTACTCTGCAGCAAGCAGTAAGTCCTAAATCGTGCTGAAATGGAAAGGCTGGGATAAAGTTGTTCTAGAATAGTGCTGAATTTTCCAGGGAAATCAGTGTTCTGGTCTATCTCAGTCTTTAGCTGATGGGGTAAGACTACTGTGTAGAGCAACTCAGTGAAACATTATTTGGCACAAGAAATCTGCCTCTCGCATAAACGCAGAGCAGGCAATTGTGCAGCATCAGCGCTAACACCGTTGCCCAAGTTGGTTGCTTTTGGGGAAGAACTCATGTCAAATGATTTGGATGTGACCTGGGAAGCTGATAAGTCCCAGGTGTGGCACTCAGCAAAGCTCTAGGGAAGCAGAGGAGCTCCTGATCAGGGATTTATTTAGTCAAGTCACTCCTACGTTTTGGTCTTGAACAGTTCCTTAAAGCTCAGACTAAGATTAAGGAAAGGGTGGTGATGGAGTGAAAGAAGATAAGCTTGTATTGAGGGGCAACAGGGAAAGGGCAGTTTGGAATCTCTTCCGCTTGAGCTGAAGATAGTTGTTCAGTGAGCACAAGGTTTTGCTGGAGGAGACTCCATGCCTTTTTGTCTTCCCTCTTCAGGATTCAGTACAGGTGCGTACTGCAGAGCCTCGTGTCCTTGTATGGTGTCCTGTTGACATCACTTCATCTGGTAGCTGAGACCCAACAGATGCCTTATATCAAGGGGTTTACCTTCCCTTCTGATATCAGTGACTTCCTTGGAGTTAACATTTCTTCTGAGATGAGGAAGCAAAAGGCTAGAATGCGCACAACAAAAAAAACTACCAGCTGGCTTAAGAAGCTCTTCCCAGCAATGCCAGAGACAGCGTTGGACACTGAGAAAAAGAGAAATTTCGCAGCCTGCGCGAGCGCTGTGAAAAAACATAATGTCCCAGGTGCTGCAGACGTGGGAAAGCCAGTTCTGGTGACCAGAGCCAGCAGAGGTAAAGCTGTGTGCCACAGTGCTTCTGGTTTCTGACATTTTTGCAACTTCTGTCCAACAGGGCCAAGCACTTCTACTACCCACAGAGTGTGGTTCTAATGCAAACTCCTCCCCTCTCCCATCCTTGGAAGAGGAGGAGAAGGCTGCATGTACCCTTGCCTTTATAAAGCTGTGGGTAATGTCAGTATTGTGAAGTGGGGTTTCTTTTGGATTTTTAAAGGACTGTGGTACACCTTGTAGAGAAGCAGGTAATGAATGCAGTATACATACAAGTCCTGTAAATAGTTATTTGTGCTTTCCTCCTTCTGTATAGACCCCAGGATAGTGAGGGAAGCTAAGAGCATTATCTGCAGTCCATACAAGAGTAGATCAAGCTGTAGGTACAGGATGCAGGTGTCCTGTGCCTGCTGGATCTGGGCTATGCCCAGGCCTTTCCCTGCAACCAGGGTTACTGCCAGTGACCACAGGCATCCAGGTGTTTGAAGCTTTTACCCATAAGGTCTCTGTTGCAGCCACCTATAAATCTCTGCATCCTCTTCATCCCCTGCCAGCTGCAGTTCGTCTGGAAACACTGAGTACAAGAGTCAGCCTGCTGAGAGGGCAGGATGTCCGAGAGCTCAGCAGGGCAAAGCATTGCGGTGCCTCTGTGCAAACACTTAAAACTCTTGACTGCATAATGCGGTCATCTCTTCTCTCTCTTGTGTAGGTAAGCACCAGGTGTTTGATGTGAAGAGCTTACTTAGACGATCCAGACCTCCAGCACAAGAGGTTTGTATGGTACCATTTTACACTTTTTTTATTTTAACTTTCAAGACCCTAACACTGATTGGAAACACCCTATTTCCCTGCCTTATTTTTGCTTGTCTAACAACCCAAGTTAACGTGGAACCTTTGCACTGAAAATCACTACTAATTTCTGCTTAGGAATTTGAGCATTTGTTGGTATATAAAGTGAAATGACCAGAGAGCAAGTCAGTAGCAGACAGGAATACAAATTCTAATTATCTGCCTCTTCTTTTTGTATTCCACAAAATAAGACTGCCCTTCCACTTTCTGCTTAGGAAATAAGGAATGTTCTCACAAAAACCTCAGTGCTCTTCTCCTCTTCAGCAGAGAGGATCAGGCATGTCATGTCTTTCTGTGATTTTTTGTTTCAGGGTACAAGTATTACATCAACACCTTTTAAAGCAAAGTTGGCATCACTTCCCTCTCGAATAGCAAAATCACGTGATATGGGATCTCTTGTACAGATGGTCCAAACAGCTGCCTCGTTTGGGGAACTGTCAGAGGCACTCAGAAAAGCTATTCTGTGGTGCAAAGGCAACAAATTCAAATCAGAAGCTTATTTTCTGCGTAACAAGTTGTTGAAAAGCAACCGGCTGCATCACGTGGAAGTTCAAGGATGCAGGTAATTTTGCATGGATGTAGGGTTTCTGGATCTGACCCTTTACATTTTAGTATTGCGCTATAGCATAGAGCAAGGCAGAGGTCTAGCCCGTTCTTTTTAAACTCAAATGGGATCACTAGTTCAGGTGACTGGACGCTCTGACATGAACATTCTGTTTAGCTTCAGTCGCTGGTGAAAGGATTTAAAAGGCTAACAAATGCACAGATACTTAGGAGTGAGGATGAAAATGCAACTTAAATCACATGCACGTTTAATGGTAACAATTATGTGACGCAAGGGGTATCATCTTTTCTCAGAATGCCCTGGCTACTGTTCACAGAATCACAGAATGTTAGGGGTTGGAAGGGACTTCAAAAGAGCAGCTAGAACCCCCCCGCCAAAGCAGGGTCACCTAGAGTAGGTCACACAGGAACGTGTCCAGTACAAGGTGGTGGTGTATCTCCTTCATATGACAAGGAAAACGATGGAGAATGCTAATAAACAAATCTCACTAGACCACAAACGAAGCTTTAGAAGCTAATAAAGTTTTGTGCACCTTCCTCCCTTAAGCTTGAAGAAGAAACTGAGCTGTGTCAAAACATCTATCCGTAAATACCTCCTGTATGGGTCACAGAATGCACGCTGGCCAAAGCAGTACCTCGGGGCACGGGTCTGTCGAAGGAGGGTCAGATCATCCACACGCTTGGAGAGAACTCTGAAGGCTGTTCAGCAAAAACCTTCTGAGCTTCTTGAGGTCTGTGAGAACAGCGCATCGCCCATCCTCCCAGCTTACCAGGATCGGCCTCTGGGTCAGGAAGGACATTCCAGTGCTGACACAGGCCCTGTCAGACTAAGCACAGCAGGGACCCCAAAGTGGCTGCTGCTGGAAGGAACCCCTGGTCCTGTGTGGAAAGAAACTGCTGAGAATGTGGATATTGATTCTATTTTTGCAGTGATGGGCATCTGACCCTGGACTTGCAAGGAGGAAGGGGGTCAAGTAATTCAAATTATTGTTTTGTGGTTTGTTGGTTGAGAGGGGTTTTTTAAAGTAAAACCCAGAATCCTAATGGTGTCTTGGTAACTCACACACTGAATTGTACTAAGAAAGCAGCAACTACTTTATTATGTAAAAGTTTTGGGTTTTTTGTGGAAAGATGTTCTAAAGAGCTGCACAGTCATCATGCTTTTACCTAGTCTTGCCCAGAAACAGCAACTTTGAGCTAAACTTGCACAGTGTCCCTTCTCTATTGCTTGACCACAAGTCAAGTGCTGCTGTCAAACCCACAGTGCAAACAGTTACCGTCCACAGCAGAAGGCTGCAGCTGATCACTTTTCCAAGGAAGCAGTCTTACACCCTTCACAGAATCACAGAATGTTAGGGCTTGGAAGGGACCTCAAAAGATCATCTGGTCCAGCCCCCCTGCCAGAGCAGGATCACCTACAGTAGGTCACACAGGAACGTGTCCAGGCGGGTTTTGAATGTCTCCAGAGAAGGAGACTCCACAACCTCCCTGGGCAGCCTGTGCCAGTGCTCTGTCACCCTCACAGTGACAAAGTTTTTTCTAATATTTTTGTGGAAACTCCTATGTTCCATCTTGTATCCTTTGCCCTTTGTCCTGTCACTGAAAAGAGCCTGGCTCCG